GGTCTATTCATGTTTGCTCCCCAACTCATCAAGTCTTGAGGTAACGTAGAAGAGAAGATATCCTCGATACATTTACAYGTTTTCTCCCACATCTCTGGAGTGAACTTCTCGCCGTTAGAGACGACTAGATTCTCAAGGCAGTTTGTTCCTGAACGGGCMAGCTGTTCGTTGTCTGGAAACAGAAATAGAAACGGGTTCAGGTTGTGYACAAGCAACTGTTTAATGATTTCCCTTTTAAACTGATCAATGAGGAGTTTCATTCAAACAGATGCCAGCTATAATGTCTGAAGATTACTGACATGGGCACCTTCGAATTTGCTTTTCTATTCCTGCAAAATCGTTTCATTTAAAAAATTATGAAAAACAAGATACAATAGAATTTGAGGATCAGAAGACAGCAATGTACCCTGTTCCCAGAAGCTCGACGAATATGCGCGGTAATCTTCTCCGAGTTTTATTCCAAACAGAGCGTGTAAATTCCACTCATTGCAAAATTATTGCCGAACAAAGCTCACGCGGCCGGTCTATAAGCCTGAAGTGAGATGATGTTTTACCCCCGACTCTACACCATTATAGTTTTTAAAATTCTTTCATATTAAAATTTTTGATTCCTTAGAGAATACAGGAAAAATAGTCATAATCAAAGAACAAAAGCAGTGTCAAAAAGGATTATGGTCTAGAGACGGGGGTAAAACGTCATCTCGCTTCAGGCTTATTGCCGTTATATTCGCCTTTCTACGTATGGGTTGACTTCGCGCCCAAAACCTTTATTTCGTCAAGCATGAGCAGTAAGAATTAGTGCGCGTGCGCTCATCGAGATGACGTCATTCGAAGGTTTTGATGAGCCAAATATCAAGAATAAACTTTTTCACTTCTTCAAACTCTTCAAGCTCGAAAAAGTCGGTGATCTCAATTTTTCTTCGTCTTAAATTAACATGCTATCAAAATCTACAACGTATGTGAATTAAAGAGAATAAGCTAAAATGCAACATCAACGCGCGGTCACCCTGTGTATATACGTCACTATTCTAATTGATGATGGCTTCTGTTACGTCACACATTGATCTRATTAGTTTGCAAGGAATAGCAACGAGAGTGGACATCAAGATGTCGCTCTCTWCTACTTTCGTGCTTATCTTAATCTCGACGTATATAAATCCAGTTAAAATKGATAAAAATGAAATTAGAGACATYCRGTGCAAACTTCATCACCATGGTGATTATTTCGGTAAGAAAAATCATGTTACGAAGTTTTGTCGAATGMRGGTTYGATCGTCTTTAAAGAATTGCAAAAGTCATTAGTAATTGAAAAGAACGTTACCACATCAACGCCAATCATGTCTTGCTTTATTCACTCTTCTTACGTAATCTAACATCTTATCATCATCAGCGTCAATCATGTCTTGTTTTATTCACTCTTCCTATATAATCTTATATCTTATTCACCTCATTATTCTATTCTTGTTTTTCAATTTAGAAGCATCTCTACTAAACGCTACGATGGTGGAGAACCCGGACATCATGTATGTGACGTGTATC